CTTGGTGACGGGTGCAAGGAAAAAAAGGAAATCATAATCTGATATGAATTCATTAACTAAAACAGCTTTAGAAGACAGAGACCCGACATTTAACAGCCCACATTTCATTCTCTTATTTTGTGCTACTGAGGAGTTGGTTTTAATTTTTATTAGATTTTTATGTTCAACTCCTCTTGTTTTTATTTCTTTAAATAATTTAGGTGGTCGGGGGACAGACACAGTCTCTATGGGGTTTTGGGTGGGTGACTGTTCTAAAGAAAGAGCAGAGAAGTGTGTAAGACAGCAGCTCTGCTTCCTGGTCCTAACTCTGGACTGTCAGGTTTTAGAAATAAACTTCGCCATATTTCTAGATAAGAGAGCCGCTCCATCCAAAGTGGGATGGATGCCGTCTCTCCTAATCAGACCAGGTTTTCCCCAAAAGGCTTCCAGTTATCAATGAAGCCCACATCGTTTGCTGGACACCACCTCGACAGCCAGCGGTGGAATGACGACATGCGGCTATACATGTCATCACTGGTCACATTGGGGAGGGGTCCAGAGAAAACTACGGAGTCCGACATTGTCTTAGCAAAATTACACACCGACTCCACATTAATCTTAGTGACCTCCGATTGGCGTAAACGGGTGTCGTTACCGCCGACGTGGATAACAATCTTACTGAATTTACGTTTACCTTTAGCCAGCAGTTTTAAATTTGATTCAATGTCGCCCGCTCTGGCCCCAGGGATACATTTAACTATGGCCGCTGGCTTCACTAACTTCACGTTTCTGACTATGGAACTGCCAATAACCAGAGTTGGTTCCTCAGCGGGTGTATCGCTGAGTGGGGAAAATGTATTGGAAACGTGAAGCGGTTGGTGGTGACCTGTGGGCTTCGCCGTTCTAGTCTTCCTTCGCTCAGTCACCCAGCCTCCCTGTCTTCCCGGCTGCTCGGGAACTACCGGGGATCTACAGAGCTAACAGAAGCTAGAACAGAAGAGTTTTGTGTTGTAATAATAACATACTAACTACGTAAGATTCTGATCTTGTATCTGGAACATTTGGAACTAACTTTATCCACCTGTAGTTAAGGGAATAAAGAAAACAAGGGGGAGACAGACGCAAAAAAGTCTTCAGGTGGTCCGACCAGGGATGTTGTAGTTCATGGTCGACAAAAGAAAAGAATGTGTAACAGAAATTGGGTTTCATCACTCATATAAAGAAAAAGTACACTTATCTGCTCTTGAATCATGAACACACCACGAGATGAAGATGAAAATAGAAGTGCGTTACACACTGCCCAATATCTGAGATCATCTTCATCTGTACATCGTTGTTAATTGCAGTCTCTGTTTCTGTCTCTCTCTCAGGTGTCCATGTTTTACAGAGGATGACTGGTTGTGAGTGGGATGATGAGACTGGAGAGGTTAATGGTTTTATTCAGTATGGTTATGATGGAGAAGACTTCATATCTTTTGACCTGAAGACATTGACATGGATCGCTCCGAAACCTCAGGCTGTCACCACCAAACTTAGATGGGATGATGACAAAGGTAGAATAAAATACAATGAGAATCAGCTCACTGAGATTTCAGTTCAGTATCTTTTAGTCTTTGAGTTGATGCTTTTATCCAGGTTGCACAACAGAAACAAGCATCAGTTCCCTGCACCACAGAATTTAAAGCAACCGACAGTAAGCAGTGTCAGGCTCAGAGCCTGTGAGTCATGATAATTTGACCTTACCAAGATGATGTGGGAGAGAAGTGATGAGTAGTAGAGTAGAAGAGAAGATCATATTCACTGGGGATAAGGTGAAGAAATGATTTGTCTTTTGTTTTGATTTCAGCCAAATGCCCTCCATCTCGTAAGTAAAACCTGCTTTTATTTTTTTTCAACTGATCTGACACACACTTTATGCTGTAGATTAAACAGGGTTTCACATTATTGTGTAGATGAACTTTTAAAGACTGTTTCCTGTATTTACTGTTTATAAAAGTTGAGTGCAGGATGAGAGGACTTTCACTGTTTGACACTGTTTGTTTCTGACCTTACAGCTCCTGACGACGGATCGGAGCTCTCTGAGAAACTGAATCCAGAGACCTGATTGTGAAACGCATTTAATGAAGTTCCTTCATATAACACGTGTCACTTTATTTAGCTTTACAGAACTTAGACCGACTAAAACATGCCTTCTTGTCACAAAGGGATATAGTAGTTTATGGTTTTTATATGTAAATGGTAATGTAATCTTTTATTTCACATTATTATAATTATTTTTCTAAATCTATTATAAAAACAATTTCTTCAATCAATTCTATTTCTTTTACCCTTCATTTTACATTGATGCAATAATGTTTTAGATACCTTAAATTACTGTTTTTGATCATGTTAGAATAGTATTTTATGGTTTTGGAATAACCACAAGAACTCTAGGTTTCTGTAAACACTGTATACAATTCTCAAAATCACCTCTTGTTGAAAATATGATCTTTTATAGGTTATAGATTTGGTGCAACAGGTCAGAGGAAAACTTTCTCATACCACAGGTTTTTCAAACAAGTAGCTTTTAGTAAGACTAGTGTAAATAGATAGACAGTGATGGTGGTTGGACTGCTGAGCGGGCCATTGCATTCACATGAAGTTGCAGTTTAGCCTGAGCAGACACAATGTAGATATAAAGCCATGTCATACAGCAAAGTATCTGCTGTTTGCTTGAGTGAATGAAGGATTTAAAGGCAGCTTAGGTTAGGTCGGGTTAGAGATGCAGTCAGTGCGGTCAGTTATGACGGTACAGTCTGATACCCACTGTAGGGCTTGATGATAGGTAGAGACATCATTTCACATGAATACTGGGCATGATGAAAATAAAGGTCAAAATCAAATGTGTATATCTGTACACATAAATGTGTATGTGTAATAATGAGAAAAACCTTCATATCTTTCAATTATTATTACGCAATTAAGAATTATATTTACATTTTATTTTCCATTTTTCGTGCAAATCAATAATTTTTATTTCAATATTTGGCTTTTTTCTATGACTCACTGATTTTTGTTGTTGTTGTTTTGGAAGTATCATAAAGGGGAACTATGGTTGAATTAGCCTGCCTTCTTTGGATGTGATGTCAAAGTGGTGATGTATTTTCTGAAGCTACAGTATGTTAAGCTCTCTGGCCTCCCATACAAATGGATCTAAATGGACTCTGATGTGGTGTGTTTTTATTACAGATTTGGTCTTGGAATTGAAAATACTAAATTGGTGGCAAATTGTGCAACTGCCATTGTTGGTGTTTTCTCTCTGTTTGGATTTGTTTTTTTTTTTTTTTTTATAAATCAGGTTCAGTTTGGTTTCCATGGGTCCACTGCCGACCTCCACTCAAAGGAGAAAATTAGGTTTAGTGTGTTTTTCCTACAACAAAAGAGAGGAGGGTAGAGCTCAGATGCATCCATGCAAAGTAGACCTTTCAAAAAGAAGTGTAGCTGAAAAATCTAAAATAAATGCAGTAGTTTGTGGAAAGTCTACTTTTGCTCTGTGTTAGCAAATCTCTTATATTTTAATACAAATACTATCAACACTGACAGCGAATATGTCAGTATGACACTGAAGAGTATTAACAATGTTAGGCCCATACTGTCCAAAGTCATGATTTTTTCAGGCCAAATGAAATTACAGTGGTGGCCAAAAGGTTAGAGAAGCAAGTTTATGGCTAAACTGTGGTCAGACTGTGCTGGGCAGCTTCCAGGTATGATTGTGTGACTGTGTGAATGCGATCAGGGCGTTCCTCTCAAAAGAGAGCATTGCTCTTAGTGAACCCCCTGAATATATAACTTTTTAAAACTCCACAACTGTAGCCCTTTGCTTCTGGTCTGAGCTCATGAGTTATGTTTAGAAAGAAAGTGAAACAAAAGATGAAGTAGAAAACTGAGAGGAAAAAAGATGTTAAAATACATGATTATTCACAGTCAGTATTTGGGATGGAAGTTAGACGCGAAATATATACGATCGACATACAACAATAAACTCTTATATACAAAGGTAATGCATAAGACTAAATCATTAAATGTCAGCACTGTTACTATATATTACCCTATATCATTTATATCACCCCTGAAAAAATGCTTGATGCTTTGTTGTGTAATAATGCAGAAGGAGGTCAGTCAGAGAAAGTCAGTGTTCCAACTATTTCTGCATCAAAAGATTTGAAACTTCACAAGTCAAACTTAACAGACTCAACACAAACTCCACCTTAAATCTATGGGGCCAAATCAAAAGCAAAATAAAAACAGAAGCAAGTTAAGCAGGTTTTAATTAACATCTGATGTGTCACATTTTGTTTCTCACACTGTGTTCTGGACTTTACCTGACAGACAAGTGCAGACAAGTAATAACAGATACAGCAACAACAGGCAACTGACATTTAAACACACACAACCTTTCAAAAATGATGTGGTTCCATACATGTTAAGAGTTTATAATACTATATAAAATAATAATAAAGTGAAATTCTTATTATTCAGAGTAAAGCTGTTGTTCACCTATAGGGATCATTAACTGGTGAACAATTCAATTCAATTCAATGAGCAAGCACTTGGTGACGGGTGCAAGGAAAAACTGCCTTTTAAGAGGCAGAAACCTAGGACAGACCCTTCGGCTCTAGGTGGGTGGCCGTCTGCCTCGACCAGTTGAGGTGAGAGAGAGAGAGAGAGAGACAGACACGGAGAGAGAGAGAGAAAAGACAAAGGTGCACAGCAACAACTACACTAATAGTGACTGATGATGATGAACATGAAGAAGATGATGACGACGACGACAACAACGATGGGGGATAATGAGCAGTGATTATAATAATAATAGTAGCTGTAGTAATAATAATAGAATAATAATAATAATAACAATAATATCAGTGATATTAGCAATGGGAGTCAAGCAGGACCATGGCAGGAGGCTCCACCAGGATCCATGAGAACCTGCGAGACGAGAAAGCACAAGAACTCCAGGGAAGAAGTGAAGTTAGTAACATGCATTAATGGGACATAAATTCAGAAAGAGAGAGAGAGTGCATCATGGGAAATCCCACGATAGTTTATCAAAGACGAACGTTTTAAGCCTACTCTTGAATGTGAATGAATTGAAAAAAAATGGAATCTGGTTCCACAGGACAGGAGCTTGGTAACTGAAGGCTCTGGCTCCTGTTTGAAGGTGAGGAGGAGGATTTTAAATTCTATTCAGAATTTTACAGGGAGCCAGTGCAGAGAAGCTAGTACAGGAGGGATGTGATCTCTTTTCCTAGTTCCTGTCAGTACTCGTGCTGCAGCGTTCTGAATTAATTGGAGCGTCTGAATGGACTTATTGGGGCAACCTGATAATAAGGAGTTGCTGTAATCCAGACTAGAAGTAACAAATGCATGGATTAGTTTTTCTGCATCTGTCTGTGACAGGACACCTCATATTCCAGAGAACAAAGACTCAGTCAGTGAACCAGGAAACATCATTGCACTGAAGACAAAGTTAACATCAGTTGATTCTACTGAGCTCTTTGGTTCTTCTTCTTTCTCAAACAAAGACAAAGTTATTTATGTTGCTCCTTTTGTGTCATTTTTTTGACAACATTTTACAGCTTTCCTTTAAGTTCTTTCTGTTACAGCAGTTTCATTTGGCCCATGAGCTCCTGTGTAGAGCAGAATTAGTGTGTGAAATTACAGTACCTTCAAAAGAGCATTCATCTTACATAGACTACTGACAGCCTTTAACTTAAACTCAGTCAACACAATCCAAGTGCAATATGTTTTAAACAATAGTAATAAAATGATGTTAAAATAAAACTATATGTCAGTTTCTGAAGAAATTGTTGGCATGATGTGGTTCGGAGCATTGAACTACACACAACAAAATTGGATCATTGTTAATTCACACAGTTTATTCTAACAGCTTTTACTCTGCAGTGTATGTATGGGGCTCTAAACATAACATAATGGGTACAGACACACTGACAGAGACATTGGAACCTGTTTGACAGGTGATACAGCTGTGCAGTACTTCCTGAGTACCTGAGGTCACATACTGACGCTGTGGAAGAAGGAGGCAGTCCTCCTGTCTACACATCTCTCTCTCACCTCCTCGCAGCTCGGTCCTTTACCCACCCGACTTTATCAAATCAAGATGAAAACGTTATTTTTGTTGCTTCTCTTCTGTCACGTTTCATCAGCAGGTAAGATCACATTTGAACTCTTTAAGCTCTTTGCTTCACTTTCCACTCGGCTCTGCATTTGACTGCGATAACGTGAGCCGCAGAGTGCATTTGGCTCCTGTAGCTCCAGAAAACAGCACTTTAGTTTCACTATTACTTAAACTTCATAAGACTGACTTTATATGTTTTAATAGAATCATAGGCTGCTGACTGAATACATCAGATTCATGATGGGTCTTTACTGAATGTATAAACTGTGTTTGTCCTGCAGTGAAACACACTCTAAAGTTTTTTATAACTGCATCCAGTGGAGTCCCAAAGATACCAGAGCTTGTGATAACTGCTGAGGTTGATGGAAGTCTGGCCGGTTACTGCGACACCAACAAAAAGATATTAGAACCAAAACAGGACTGGATGAAAAAAATATTTGAAGATGATCCTCAGTACTTTGAGTGGGCCACTCAGCAGTGTTTTGAGAGAATGCCAAACATATTCAAAGTGATGATTCATAATTTGAAGCAGCACCTCAACCAAAGTGGAGGTAAAGTATTTATGTATATTATATTTTACTTTTACTACTAAAATGATTTGCAGCCTGGTTTGTTGTTTGACACACAGATATAAGATAGCTAACATGTGCATATTAATGAATTTGAGCTTGGACTGCATCTGAGACTGCAGGTGTCACACAGGTGTGACTTTGTTTGAATAAGAGTTTAATGTGCATATAATTCAACATACCCACTTTGTATACTGCCACTGACAGTCATCTGTCAATTCATACAACAGTAGCTACTATTGTAACTTTTAGCTGTGGAAAATAAATTGGGTTTCATCACTCAGATAAAGTGCACTGATTATCTGCTCTTGAATTATGAGCACACCACAAGACACAAGTGTCACACAATGCACAATATTTATAAGATCATCTTTCCACTGGAGATTTCATCTGTATTCTGTACATTGTTAATTACAGTCTCTGTTTCTCTCTCTCTCTCTCTCTCAGGTGTCCACATTTTACAGGGACTTTTAGGATGTGAGTGGGATGATAAGACTGGAGAGGTTAATGGTTTTAATCAGTATGGTTATAATGGAGAAGACTTTATATCTTTTGACCTGAAGACATTGACATGGATCGCTCTGAAACCTCAGGCTGTCACCACCAAACTGATGTGGGACACTGACAAAGCTAGAATAAAATACAATGAGAAGTTAGTCACTGAGATTTTCCCTGAGTTACTGAAGAAGTATTTGGACTATGGCAACAGCTCTCTGCAGAGAAAAGGTAGAATCACATGACCTGATTTAGTTTGATGAACATAACAATGTTCCTATAATCTGCTCAGACTGAACTGCCATTGTATTATTACTCCAGTCAGTTTGATGTTATCTTATTTTTGGCTGTTGAAGGTATTATTTGATTTAGCCCTGAACAATCAGTAGAGACTGACAGTTGTAGGTGCTCTACATTATTTTCCATCAAAGCTGATACTGTGATAGCCAGACATGAGGTAAGTAAGTTTACACAGATTGTATGGATGGTATCATTAAGGTTTTCCTTAAGGCCTTTGATCATATCTGGTAAAAAAAAATGCCAACTAAGGGTAAAACTTCTTTAAGCAGCTTATTTAGGATGGGGTTTAAGAGACAGGTTGATGGGTTAGATGAAGACATTTTTGAAGTTGATTGGTGGTTGACAGCAGAAAAACTTTCTAAAATTATATATGACTTTACAGCTGTTAAGATTCATGTGTTAAAAGAGACATCAGTACCTGTTGAGAGCAGATTCATTTAGTCATGAAGTCGTTGCTGCTGAGAGATAAAGGAATACATGGCTGGCTACAGTGCTGAAAGATTCCTGGTTGTTCCTCTTTTCCTGTTAATGATGAACAGTAGGCTGCTCTGGCATTTCAGAGGCCCTTTATATGCTTTAAGACTATTTCTTTGAATGTCTTTTTTAGTCAGGTGGTAATACCATGGGTTTAACCTCCTATGTTTTAATTAATATATTCCTTTAACATATTATTCATGGCACAGCCAGGTCTCAGTAAGCCTAAATAAATCTGTATGATAATCTGATATTAATTCATGAATCAGTCCATATTTCATTATTTTATTTTGTGCTGTTGCGGAGTTGGTTTAAATTCTTATTAGGTTTATGTGTTTAACTCCTCTTCCCTTTACTTCCTCTTTAAATAATTGAAGTGGTCAGGGGACACAGTCTCTGTGGGGTTCTGGGTGGGTATCTGCTCTAACTAAAGTGCAGAGAAGCGTGTAGGACTGCAGCTCTGCCTCCTGCTCTCAACTCTGGGTTGTCAGGTTTTAGGTTCAGAAATAAACAGTCAGATTTGTAAATAAGAGAGCTGCTCTGTCCAAAGTGGGATGGATGCCGTCTCATCTTCATTGTCTATTCCCTTGTTTTATTTCCTTCCCTTTTTCATATTGCTCTACCCCCAATCTCTACCTCCACCTTTTCTTATCTTGAGCTGTCCTATAAAGTAAAAGGAAAAAAGCCCCCAACTCATCAGCTCTCTCTCTCTCTCTCTCTCTCTCCCTCTCTCTCTCTCTCTCTCTCTCTCTCTCTCTCTCCAGAGCTTCCCTCAGTGTCTCTCCTCCAGAAGACTTCCTCCTCTCCAGTCAGCTGCCACGCTACAGGTTTCTACCCTGACAGTGCCACACTCATCTGGAGGAAAGATGGAGAGGAGATTCATGAGGACGTGGACCACGGAGAGATCCTCCTCAACCACGATGGATCCTTCCAGATGAGTGTTGATCTGAACCTTTCATCAGTCACACCTGAAGACTGGAGGAGGTACGACTGTGTGTTTCAGCTCTCTGGTGAGAAGAACGACATCGTCACCAAACTGGACAAATCAGAGATCAGGACCAACTGGGGCAAGACTGGGATGAGAATTGACAAAGGTGAGAAACACAGATTTAAAAAAAGTATTATTTATAACTGAATAATCAGTCTTATTAATTATTTTAAAAAGATCAGCAACTCATTTATCTTTATTCATAATTCAAGTTTAAACTTATCTTTAAGGAACATTCCAGCAACTTAGTTCTGCACTTTCTTAAGGCTGGCTGTCTTGCAAGAGACATAGCACCAGTGGCTGACATATTCTGACTTTTAGTCCCCAGAACACTGGATCCTACATTTCCCATAATGTAACCCAGTAGTGCCTTTACTGTGTAGTACAGTGATACTATATCTGCCCTGTGATAGGGTGCCAGGTCGCCCGCCGACCCTTTTCTGATTCACAGTGAAAATAAATTGATGCACAGTGGAGATTCTTTTGTTTACCAATTAGGTTGCATATAATGCACAGAGTGTCAGGTTCCTTTAATGCTGTCAAGTTAATAACATATACTGTATCTTCTTTGCTAAACTGAAGTAAGTGTCCTTTAAATGCTGTATATTTCTGCTCACACACACCAGTGACTACTGTATTATACTCTATTCACAATGTGAATGTGTGATGAACAGATGGATAGATCTTTTAACCTGCTTCATCTTCACATGTTGTGATCATTTTGGTTTATTTGTGTTGTTTTTTGCTGAGCAGAGGAGCCCAGTAACATCACCATCCCGATTACTGCTACAGTGGTTGTTCTTGCTGTCGTCCTCATTGCTGTGATTGGATTTATCGTTTACAAAAAGAAGAAAGGTGAGAGACTAGAATGAGCCGAGTTGAAACCTTTAATAACATATAAATCTAAAGAGTTTCACTTTATATGAAAGAATTACATTCAGAAGGGAAAATGAGACAAAATGTATTCTGGCATTTTAAACTCTTCTGATCTTTTCTTCTTATTTCAGCCAATCGCCCTCCACGTCGTAAGTAGAACTTGTTTTTATTCTATTGTCTCTGACACGTTCTTTACATTGTGAGCTGAGGTAGTTCAGTGCAGGAGAAGAGGACTAACAGTGTGTTTCTGACCTTGCAGCTCCTGAAAACAGCACTGAGCTCTCTGAGAAACTGAATCCAGAAACATCACGAGCAAACACACCACCCTGCACACAGTGACGTCATGTGGGACAACAAAACAGTGAACCTAACACCTCCAGTTAAAGCAGTTTGATATTGTTTTGTCGTTCACTGTAAAACCTCTGAATCACTTTAAAGCTGCAAAGAAAATATCTGACAAAGAGCTGGTTTCCTATAACCAACTGTAGATAAAGATAAGTGAGGTTATAAAGAGAAAAAACAAGCTAAATAAGGCATTGATGCTCACATTAGAAAATAAAAGGAAGAAATAATCCTTTAAAAGCAGCCATCTGTTAAAATGTTGTAAGATTGTGAATATTTTAGATCTCATTGAAATCAGAATCCTCAGGTACTGATACAATGTTATAACCTTTGTTGAATTGAACTTTCCAAATATTTCTGATGAAGTTAATTCTGTTTTATGTGATTATTCTCTCCGTCTCTTCAGGTTTGTGGTTCAAAAAATGACCTCTCATGATATCAAACCATTCAGGTAGATGTGTTTGCATTTGTGATAACAGACAAAGTCCTGTTTGCTCAGAATAATCCATTCATTCATAACTCCTTCTTCCAAATATAAAAACAATCAAAACTTATTATAAATATTCTGCTTGTATATTATTTTCATCTGTAATTTAAACTTTTGTTGAAATCTTTAAAGTATGTTAAACCTTGTGTTTGAGACTATTTCCATTTATATGTGACATTCACTTTGTACGTAGTGTGAAACATGTTGACGGTGGCTGTTTTCTTGGAACTTTATGATCAGTTATGCACAGCGAGTTTTCTTTAGTCCAAGGTTGATGTGAGCACACACATGTCCTGATGCCAGTTTATAGGACTGACAGCTGAGAAGAGTGATATCACTGTACAGTTTGTGGTGTAGGATGACTTCAGCTCAGATTTTTGTTGTTGTTGTTGTTGTTCTTGTTGTTTTGGAAGTAGCATAAAGGGGACGATGGTTGGAGGGGAAACTAGCATTTGTTGAGGGAGGTGGTGTCTTTGAGAGTGATAAAAAGAGAGGCTGTATTTTCACCAGTTTGTCACAAATAGATTGTTTTAAGATCATTAGTAATGGATGCTCTTGCTCCAATAGATATCACTCGTTCTTAGTGAAGTCAGAACTAATGAGAGGTGGATGAAGCCGTCTGGAGCTTTGGGGCTTCAAATGCAGCAGCACAGTGACATCTGGTGGCAACAGCAGCCCTTCACAACTGGAGCCAAAGCACCACAACACCTCTCTGATTTTAATGCTTTTAGTCTCATAGGTGTGCAATAAAAGTCCAAGAAGCCTGTGTGTTATCATTACATTTGTAATACTGTTGTTCAAGTGCTGCATTAAATGTAGCAGTTTGTGTGATATGTTACAGTAAAATAATTCATAAAAGCATTGTCCAAAAAGCCTAGATAATAAATATTGTTACTGACATCAAATATGAACGTACTTTACTGATGTAGTTTAGGTCCAGTGTCGCTGTGGGGTTATGTGTTAGTTGATATTGTGCTACTGCAAACAATACATGTAATCCTCCTTTAATAGCCTAGTGTGCTGCATGTTCTGGATTTTATAGAAACTCTTTGGATGAATAAAACCTGAACCCCTTCTACACAAATATAAACTTTTGTTAATGTGTGTAGTTAGATTGCCCACAATTCCATTATTCAGTTCATTTTACTGAAACCATCACCAAAGTGATCAAGTAATAATAGAAGTATTATTCTCTAGGTCTACAATAATACTGGTCTGATTTAAATAAACTATTTACCGTCTTTGCTCAGGAAGAGTTTTGTGCAAAAGGAATTAAAGGCCTGCCCATCTGTTTCGGGTATAGGAAGGTTAAGTTCAGTGATTGAAGCAAATAAAGGCTTGGGCTACTAATTTAAGTTTAAAGGTAAAATGAGTGTGATCATTGTATTTATACTGAATGTATTTAGTTTGTCCTGCAGTGAAACACTTCATGAAGTTTTTTGTAACTGCATCTTCTGGAGTCCCAAACTTCCCAGAGTATATGGGAGCTCTAGTGGTTGATGACATTCTGGCGGGTTACTACGACAGCAACAAACAGATATTAGAACCAAAACAAGAATGGATGAAAAGATTATTTGAAAAAGATCCTCAACACTTGGAGTTCTACACTCAAACCTGTTTCGAGATTGAGCCAAACTACTTCAAAGCCACGATTTATTATTTGAAGCAGCGCTTAAACCAAAGTGGAGGTACAGTATGTTCTATGTTATATTTCAATATTTACTGCTAAACTGTTCTGCATCTTAGTACTTATCTACAAAGGCTAATAATAATAATAATAATAATAATAATAATAACCAAGACACCATCATCACATGGGTTTGCCAAAAGCGCCCACTGGTTATACTCGTTTGCTGTCCTTATCCAACATAAACTCATTCCTGAGATAAAGAAATTCAAACCTTCCATGAATAATTACACACAGGGAGAGGAAAAACTGGAATATAAGACATCCTTAATTTCCTTCACTGATCTGTCAGGTAACTGGACTGACGTCTGTACAGGTGTTATTTCATTTTTTTATAATGCATAATGTTTGTAGTCAAACATCAGACAGGCATTTCCCATTATGCACTAAAATTTTTCAGTCGATAGAGAACAACTGTCGTACCTGGCTCCAAAAACTTCTGCTGCCTTGATCTGGTAAGGAAATTATTGCTGATGTCAGCATGACAACATGCTAACTAGCCTTTAATTACAAACATTACAGATGCACTTATTTTATGGTTCATCTCCATTGAAAATGATATTATTGTTATTCTGGCAAAATTGTCAACTTTTTTACAACCTGAATCATTGCCCCATCACCTGTCATCTATTTATAGCTATATCTAAACAATAAACTAAACCTATTGCCACATTCTGATATCTCTTTTGGTGAGTAGGGTCATCACACATGTTACCAAATGAACTGATGTCCAGACTAGAGACACAAAAATAAAAACAAGTTGTAATAAAGCATAGTTTTCCTTTTCATTACTTTAGTGGTGCATATTCCCAAACTTCCCATATTTTCAATCAAATTAGTACAGACTACATCAGGGGTTCTCAACTGGTCTCACCTTGGGAGCCACATTTTCACATGGTCATAATGTCGGGACCCACTTTTACAGAATTCAAACCACGCAAATGTATTTTTCAAATAAGCTAGTACACACATAAACAATGTCATCATAAACTTCATGAATATTTTCCATCCCTGCAATCAGAGCACATGACTCTAAACAAAGTATGAATATCACAACTGTGTGCTGCTGATTGTTATGAATTAATTAATAAAAGTATAATAATGAATAAACACCATAACTGTTTTTTTTATAAAATAAATAAGGCCTACAAAATGGGCTGTTTCCATTTAACAGACATTTGTGGAAGCTTTTCTGTCGAAATGAAGGTCAGATAGATTTTTTTTTTTTTTTGGCCACGCACTCCAAGACGCATTCAGAACAAACCACAAGCAACCCACTGTTGGCCTATGACCCACCAGTAGAGAAAGCACATACTAGATGACACAGTAAGTCTGGATTTCTGCAGCTGCCCTTTACAGAATAATAGCTATGAACAATGAACAATATTTTTATCATCTTTCTACTGAAGATTTCAGCATTATTATTTGCAGTCTCTCTCTCTCTCTCTCTCTCTCTCTCTCTCTCTCTCTCTCTCTCTCTCTTAAAAGAGACTAAATGATGGCTTCCTGCAACAACACGTGGAGTAGTAGTTATTATTTATGTTCTTGATATGTAAATGTTAAAATGACCTGTTTATTTAAATTTTATTTTAGTGATGTCTGGTTTTGTGTGTGTTTACTACAACGAAAGAGAGGAGGGTAGAATACTCAACAATTATGTAAAAGAGCTCAGATTCATCTGGGAAAAGTAGACCTGACTGAAGAGAAGTGTCAACAATGTAAGGCCAATACAGACTATACTGTGGTCAGACTGTGGTTGTACTGAGCAGCTTCCAGGTATGATTGTGTAACTGTGTAATGTGATCAGGGTGTTCCTCTTAAAAGAGAGCATTGCTCCTAAAGAGGAAGAAAAAAGATGAAGAATGATGAACAAAAACAGATTATTTAAGTTTTCTGTCCCTCCCCCTATACCTGCTGTTGCTTCATATCTGATGTGTCAAATTCTGTTTCTCACACTGTGTTTTGGACTTTACCTGGCAGACGAGTGCAGACAAGTGATAACAGATACAGCGACAACAGGTAACTGGTGACATTTTTTTTTATCTCCAGGTAAGACAACATTTTACAGCTTTCCTTTAAGTTCTTTCTGTTACAGCAGTTTCATTTGGCTCATGAGCTCCTGTGTAGAGCAGAATTAGTGTGTGAAATTACAGTAACTTCAAAAGAGCATTCATCTTACATAGACTACTGACAGCCTTTAACTTAACCTCAGTGAACACAATCCAAGTACAATATGTTTTAAATCATAATAATAAAATGATGTTAAAATAAAACTATATGTCAGTTTCTGAAGAAATTGTTGGCATCATGTGGTTCGGAGCATCGAACTACACACAACAAAATTGGATCATTCTTAATTCACACAGTTTATTCTCACAGCTTTTACTCTGCAGTGTATGTATGGGGCTCTAAACATAACATAATGGGTACAGACACACTGACAGAGACATTGGTACCTGTTTGACAGGTGATACAGCTGTGCAGTACTTCCTGAGTACCTGAGGTCACATACTGACGCTGTGGAAGAAGGAGGCAGTCCTCCTGTCTACACATCTCTCTCTCACCTCCTCGCTGCTCGGTCCTTTACCCACCCGACTTTATCAAATCAAGATGAAAACGTTATTTTTGTTGCTTCTCTTCTGTCACGTTTCATCAGCAGGTAAGATCACATTTGAACTCTTTAAGCTCTTTGCTTCACTTTCCACTCGGCTCTGCATTTGACTGCGATAACGTGAGCCGCAGAGTGCATTTGGCTCTTGTAGCTCCAGAAAACAGCACTTTAGTTTCACTATTACTTAAACTTCATAAGACTGACTTTATATGTTTTAATAGAATCATAGGCTGCTGACTGAATACATCAGATTCATGATGGGTCTTTAATGAATGTATAAACTTTGTTTGTCCTGCAGTGAAACACTCAATGACGATTTTTCTAACTGGATCCAGTGGAGTCCCAAACTTATCAGAGTTTGTGTCAGCTCTAGAGTTTGATGGAAGTCTGGCCATTTACTGCGACAGCAACAAAAGATATTAGAACCAAAACAGGACTGGATGAAAAAAATATTTGAAGATGATCCTCAGCACTTTGAGTGGGCCACTCAGGAGTGTTTTCAGAGTGGGCCAAATATATACAAAGTCAGGATTCAGAATTTGAAGCAGCGCCTCAACCAAAGTGAAGGTAAAGTATTTATGTATATTATATTTAATGAATTTGAACTTGGACTGCATCTGAGACTGCAGGTGTCACACAGGTGTCTTTGTTTTAACAAGAGTTTAATGTGCATATAATTCAACATACCCACTTTGTATACTGCCACTGACAGTCATCTGTCAATTCATACAACAGTAGCTACTATTAGAAAATTGGGTTTCATCACTCAGATAAAGTGCACTGATTATCTGCTCTTGAATCATGAGCACACCACAAGACACAAGTGTCACACAATGCACAATATTTATAAGATCATCTTTCCACTGGAGATTTCATCTGTATTCTGTACATTGTTAATTACTGTCTCTGTTTCTGTCTCTGTCTCTCTCTCAGGTGTCCAAATTTTACAGGAGATGTTAGGATGTGAGTGGGATGATAAGACTGGAGAGGTTAATGGTTTTAATCAGTTTGGTTATAATGGAGAAGACTTCATATCTCTTGACCTCAAGACATTGACATGGATTGCTCTGAAACCTCAGGCTGTCACCACTGCACTGGAATGGGATGCTGACAAAATTAGAATAGAATATGTTAAGAAATCAATCACTGAAATTTTTCCTGGGTTCCTGAAGAAGTATGTGGACGATGACATCAGCTCTCTGCAGAGAAAAGGTAGAATCACATGACCTGATTTAGTTTGATGAATTGAATTGATCCAGGTTTTTATGTCCTTAAGACCTTTGATCATATCTGGTAAAGAAGTGCCAACTAAGGGTAAAACTTGTTTTTAAACATGTCATCACATTTCATCATTGGTTTAGTTAACTCTGTGTGTGCTCTAAGCTGCTAGCATATGCTGTTTAACATACCTGAGGTGGATTACTGCTTATCTTCTACCACCACTAATCAGAAGGTTTTTGGTTCGATCCCCAGCTCCTCCCGCCACATGTCAAAGTATCCTTGAACAAGATACTGAACCCCAAATTGCTCCCGATGTTTACCTTTACCATCACTGAGTGAATGTGTGTGAAAGGGTGAATGTGGCACATGGTGTTAAAGCCCTTTGA